AATTGGTCGTGTCTGTTGTTTTCAAACGTGTATGACGTTTGAAATTCCGTTAAATAGTTGAGTAGTTGGGACAAACGCAAGGGTTCAAAAACATAGAAAATGTTATTTTAGATTTAAAAAGTAGAACTTTTGGAGCAGAATTTTTGTTGCCTAAAATATTGCAATCCGGTGATTTCTCTGTGACGTATTCAAGAGGTATGCGCTGGGAAGCAGCTTGGGACTGATAATATTTGTTGCTTTTACATCAGTCACATGTACTTTACAGTTTGAAATGATTATCACTTTTAAGAATTGAAGAAAATTGTTATTGGAATCTGTCTTTTTATTTTTTTGAAATTTATTTCAGGAAGTTGTATTTTATACGAGAGTATTCATAGGTCAATTGCACAGACATATAGTGAGTTTTCTTTGTTCAAAAGTTCTTTGCTATAAAAATTCTGTGCTCGACTGCAATAGTGGAAGAGGAGTGTACTTTAGCAAAGACATTTTTTTTGTCATTGATGGAATAGCTGCATAAATTTGATGAGTTTTACTGGTTTGGAGAGCGCTTTCAAATGTTGACAGTAATTACGCTCGTTTCCTGTAGCCTGTTGACGATAAAAAAGTTGAATCAATGTGATGGAGGTTCTGTGGAACTCAGCTGTAGATATTTAGAATTGGTTAAGGCTTGGTTAGTCGGAAGGTTTTTAAATTCTCTTTTTAACAGTTAAAATTTTTAAAATGCATGAAATATCATGACGTTAGACTTTTCCAGTGTATACTCAGAAAAAAAAACTGCAGTGACACTGAGACTGGTTTCGTAAAACGTTAAGGTTGCTGAAAATCTTTTTGTTCTTCTACTGTCAAATAGTGCCTTTAAAGAAGTAAATTATTTTTTTGTGCTTTATTTCCTCCCTAAAAACTGAATTGTTCGACGTAAAAAATTGAACTGTTACAGCGTCTTGCTTGAGAAGTCAAAAAGTGATCAGCAAATCGCAAAACTGACTAAATTCTCACGGAAAATTTTTTCAAAAAAAGAAGAAAAAGAGATTGTAAATTGGTAAAGTTTTGCTTGCGTATTTGCCCAGTGAAATTGTTGAACTGTATTTTGGTTCACAGCTGGAAAATTTATCACAAGATTGCAATTTACAAGGACATCCTTACTTTGTAATAAGCTTTTTCTTTCTTTTAAAACACTTTTGAAGGGCTACAAGTGCCGGTCGTCTGGGATGGAGTTGAAGTTGGCAGGAACAGT